ATGCATATTTTGTTCTAATGATGATGTCGTTCTTACAAAAATATGTGGTGGAATGTTGGAATTTCTAGTAATCTAAAATTAGTTTGCCCCTCATGCAGACCCTTAGCTAGTGACACTATTGATAGAAAATGTATGGTAGAATACAAAAATATTATTCGTCTGTTTCGCCATTAATTAGTCAGGACCTGATTGTAAAATATCATGAATCTTAATTTCTTACCAAAAAAAAAGTAGTAGTCTACACATCTTATTTGTTATCTAGGATTTATAGGAAATTTTGTGTGTAATTTTTACATTTCTAAACGCTCAGAGTTTGGATAATAATGAAGGCACAATATTTTTATATCACTGTAAAAGTCATAAAAATGAATAGTAGTAATTAGAGTCAATCAACTGTACAACAAGTTTCTTCTTTAAAAAGGGACGCTCCCAAAGCGGAAAATCCACCAAACACCATATATAAGAGATTCTACACCGTTGCTAATAATACTGATAAACCAGAGTTGGCGTGTTGATAATTAAGAAAGATGGGANCGAAGCACTACACATTAGAGATTTTGCAGTGTTGCTAATAATTTAGATAAGGCAGAATTAGTGTGTGTATAATTAAGATAGATGGGAATAAAGTTATGGGTAATGTTAGTAATGATTGTGCTTCCTTTACTAAATGGATGGTATTGTTTAGGATGTTGGGAGGAAGAGAGGGTTGCTCTTTTAAACCTTAAAGCTAATATAAACTTCCCAGACGGAGAATCGCTGCCTTAATGGGTGATATTGAGACTGAAACTGATTGTTGTCAATGGAAAAAGGTTGAATGCAGCAACACAACTAAATGAGTAATGGATCCAGGTGAATTGAGACAATGGCAAGCAAAGGTGTTGAAAGAATGAGTCCTGTAAGCCATGAAATTGAAGTCCACTCTAATGAGGAGAAATTCATGTTACTAACACTGATAGACCATTGTAATAGTCCATCTGTAATTAGCACATCTGGTCAGCATTTTGTGGTGCTTGATAGTTCAATTATAATTGAAACAACTCGTGTAAAAGATTAAGGTGTTAGAAATGGATTGAATCTCTGTACTAATTATAAAGTGTCTTGTTCAATTCCCTTCCACCATGCATTTCTTGGTAAAATGACAAGATTATTTCTTCAAGGTCCTCTTAAGTTTTCCTCCCATCTAATTTCAATGCTAATACATACTTACAGTTGCATTTCATTCTTCCCGCACTTCAAATCCCTGTAGCTCTTTAACCAACCTTGTTGAGGCGCATGCGGCAAGGACACAGTTTGGCTGATGATGAGGGGGAACTCAATCGGAATCAGAACCGTATGAACAAAAAACGAACACAGTCCATACAAATACCAACACAGAACTTCACCCTTGCCTGGCTTCTCTTCATGCTTCGCTGCATATTTTTCATAATTCTCATCAGCCCTCTGGATTTTCATTGCCACTCTATGAACATCTGGTGTTTCCATAACATCTTCATATTCTTTAGGCATTTCTACCAGATTATCTTGAATCTGAGGACTGCTATCTCCCATTTAATGATACCAAATTTCCTTCCAATAATTGAAGAGAAGGGGAATTTCTTGAGGAGTATGGCAGTAGTTAAACAAACATTTTTGTAGGGAGTCTTAGAGCTTAGCATGATAGAATTAAATGTTTCCAATAATCTCTTCTCAACTTTCATA